TGACTGACAGAACTAAGTGCCCCATGTCCCCATATTGATGTCATTCACTTCTAATATTAGCAGCAGAGCATTTTGGGTTCACCTGGGAAAGGGGAGCTTTTATTTTTGAGTTGAACGAGAACAGATACTAAAAATGAACATGGTGAGACTTCCTTCTGGTGTATCTGACACAGATAAAATAGGGAAGCCTGTGCAACAAGACTATTTTGGATCAAATGGGAAAGGAATTCAAGGTAGTTGGAAATCCAGTGTGCTTTAAGATATTCTATGTCGCCTCTCTCATGAATTCTGAAGAGTTAAGAAATAAATTGAATTATATGCTGGTAACCCTTTGCTCTATGTCTAAAATCCATATATGAGTGAATACATACCATGTTCCTCTTTTAGTGGCTGGATTGCCTCATTCAGGATGGTGTCTTCAAGTTCCATCCATTTGTCTGAGAATTTCAAGATTCCATTGTTTTTTCCCACTGATTAGTATTCCATAATGTAAATATATCATGTCTTCATTATCCATTCTTCAGTTGAGGAGCATCTAAGTTGCTTCCAGGTTCTTACTATTACAAATAATGCTGCTATGAGCATAGTTGAACAGATGTCTTTGTTGCATGGATGTGGATCATTTGGATATATGCCTAAAAGGGGGATTGACGGGTCCTGTGGTAAACTAATTCCCATTTTCCTGAGGAACCGCCATACTGATCTCCAAAATGGCTGTATGAGTTTGCACTCCCACCAGCAGTGGAGGAGTGTTCCCCTTTCTCCACATCCTCTCCAGCATAAGATGTCATTGGTGTTTCTAATTTTAGCCATTCTGACAGGAGTAAGATGGTATCTCAGAGTTGTTTTGATTTGAATTTCCCTGATGGCAAAGGATGTTGAGCTCTTTCTTAAGTGTTCATTTTGGATTCCTCTATTGAGAATTCTCTATTCAGTTCTGTACCCCACTTTTTAATGGGGTTATTTGGTGTTTTGGTGACTAATTTCTTGAGTTCTTTGTATATTTTGCAGATCAGCCCTCTGTCAGATATGAGGTTGGTGAAGATATTTTCCCAGTCTATGGGCAAGGTCCTTCACAGAAGGGGAAGGGAACAACATCTCCTGAACATATGGGAGTGGGGGGGCAGTGAGTGGAGAGGAAGTTAGGAGAAAGAGAAGGGAGGAGAGAAGATCATGTGGAACCAGGAAGATTCAGTTGAGGGACAAATAGATGAGAGCAAATAAAAGGAGATACCATAATAGCCATTATAGGTTTGAAGAGAAAACTGACTCTAGAGAAATGTCCAAAGACCTACAAGGATGACCCCAACTAACAATCTGAGCAACAGTGGAAAGGCTACTATAAATGACCATCCCTGATAATCAGATTGATAACTAACTTGTATGCCATCATCTAGTAGCTGATGGAAACAGAAGCAGACATCCACAGCTAAACACTGAGCCAATCCTGGAATCCAGTTGCAGAGAGGGAGGAGTGATGAGCAAAGGAGTCAAGATCAGGCTACAGAAACCCACAAAGATAGCTGATCTGAACAAGGGGGAGCTCATGGATCCCCAGACTGATATCTGGGAAACCAGCATTGGACCGACCCAAACCCCCTGAATGTGGGTCTCAGTTAGAAGGCCTGGGCAGTCTAAGGGACCTCTGACAGTGGAACCAGGATGTATCCCTGGTGCATGAAAGGACTTTGGGAGCACATTCTCCATGGAGGTATACTCCCTTAACCTAGAGACAGGAGGGAGGGCCTAGACCCTACTCCAAATGACTTGACAGATTTTAATGATCCCTCTCGGAAGACATCACCTCCCTGTGGAGTGAGTGGAAAATGGGATGGGAGGGGGGGTGAGGAGGTATGGGAGGGAAGAAGGGAGGAAAGAAGAAAGGAAGGAAGAAAGGGAGGGAAGAAGAGAGAAAGAACTGAGATCAATATGTAAAATACGAAAAATAGCAAATATATATTTTTGAAAAAGAAAGTCTGAATGTGTCAATTTAAGAAAAAAAAGAATTAAAATGAAATCTTATAAAATCATCTGGCTACAGAATGTCACCAAAGATCATTGACAGACTTGTGACTATCCTAGCAGGTTGACAGAATAGATCCAGGTGATGAGTTATAGTACATCGCATGAGCGATGTACTTGGCTATTGGATGTTGTAGCCATACACACAAAGAACTGAATGGCACACTTGGGACTTATTCTGTCACATTTGTCAAGTGTTTGGGGTTTTGTCATCTAGCATGGTTTAAATGGGTCAGGGTAGCTGGTCACTGTCACATTTCTGATTCACATTGATGTAAAAGTCAGGAAAAATGCTGCTGTACCATTTTGTATAACTGCAATAGTATTGGGATTTCATGCTTTGTGTGAATGGCATTTCTTCCTACATTCTCCATCTGCAAAGTGGGTAGTATCATCATGTGTCAAGAATGACTTATTTATGTGGTACTTCATCTTGAAAATAGACAAAGTAAGAACAATATATTTAAAGACTCAGAAACCTTTAAAGTATTAAGTATGGAAAGTGTCTGTTACTTTAAAATGACAACATAAGCTTAGTAACCATTCTCTTAAAAAAAAAGTAAATATTTAGAGCATGTACCAGGAGTTAAAGAGTTGAAGGAAACAAAAACACTAAGGCTCAGATGGAGTCTTCGATCACTGGATCAGCATCTGTCTGTAACTGAACTTTCCTTACATTCCACATTTTTCTAAGACATTTATTTCAGAAAGGCTACCCTCTGATATAAATAGCAATGGAAAAGGAATGGGCTATGGTTACTTGTTGCTATTTTGTAATTTGGTTTTGCTGATAGTTCTCTAGTCCAGTCTTCCATCATGACTAATCATTAATCATTTTTACATCAGTGTCAGGGGGAAAAATAGGGTAATTCTCTGCCTTGGGTGTGGACATCTTACAAAGAAAGTGTTCAGTCACACAAACTTGACATTTTTGGAATTTGTTGAAGAACTCTTGTCTATATAGGCTTAGCCTTAAAACTGCCTTGTTTTTCTTTGCATTGTTGATTGGTTGTTATTGTTGCTATCTTGTATATTTTGCATCGTTATTCATCCCCCATATTATTCTCAAAATAACTAAATACTGTTCCACAGGAAGCCTTGTCAAAATCTGTTTTCTCATGTCAAGCACAATGTGCCCATCCTATGCTCCCAAAGATTCCTGTGGCAGGGCACACACCTGAACTGTGATGTTTTGTTATTCTCTACCTTATCCCTCGCTGGACTGTGGGGTTTTGCAAAGTAGAGAGCTGTGCCTTATTCTCCACTGTATTTCAAAGCTGTGCCTGGAACACAGTGATCTCTCATTAAACTTTTACTTGCTCATCAGTGTTAGATGTCTTACCTGGAAGATTCTAGTATTTACTTACAATTTACTTGTTGCTTTATTTCATCTTAAATGCTGTGTTTTTTATTCTCCCTGTTAAACTATTTTTCTCTAGGTTCCCATCTTTGGAACTAAGCAAACTTTCAGATCTTCCAGTTGCATACCTAATAATCTCTCTCTCTCTCTCTCTCTCTCTCTCTCTCTCTCTCTCTCTCTCTCTCTCTCTCTCTCTCTCACACACACACACACACACAAAGAACAATGTCTTATGAAATTTTTTTCATGTAAAGTGTCCAATTACTTCTATCTTATCTAGTAGTGCAAAATGTGTTTCACTCATATGAAAGTTTCCTTCCAGTTGCAAATGTGCAAATAGTGGGAAATTCAATACCATGTCTGTTAGAGGTCAACTGTCAGGAAGCTCTAAACTCCCTGTATTGACTTACCATATAACATTATCATAGTTAATCAGATTCCATGCACATAGAAATGATACTAAATGGATGCCACATATACCAACATCCTATCCTACTAATGAAGAAATCAAACCCCAAGGAGCTTTTACCTAAGGTCACTCAGCTAGTGTAACAATGGGTCAAAACCCCAGGTCTTTCAATCCTGCTTTCTGATTAATACTTGACTATCTATGAAATTACATTTATCACTCTGGTGACGTTATAGACAATAAAAAGCAAGAGAGGGGAAAAAAAACATGTTGAAAAAAAATCTACGTACTGATCACTAACTCTAAAGAAGAGAAGCCAAAGCAGGTGACAAGCTGGTGAAGTGACCAACAAATGGCTCTGTAGTGGAAGTCAGGAGGGAACTGTACATATGGTCAGAATAGGGGGGAAATATCCCCCCAAAATTGTAATTACTTCAGCTTTGCCTCCCTCCTTGCTTTGATCTGTGCATTGGTTCTATGGGACATATTTGGATTGAGAATTTGGTGTCCTTTCAGAGAAGTGTTAGAGAATAGAAATCGGTTGGTTCTGTGTTTCCATAAAGACTTATATATAGATAAATGCTGCAACACCTGGTTCCATCTCTATGTAAAATTATAAAACTGCATTTCTTTACTTGATGAACTTTTAGGGATGAAAGCTTAAAAAGTGTTAATAAATAAAAGAAGACCTCTCCTTTAAAGGGTTATCTGAACTTCCTGTGTTAATTTTCTGCAAACTTACATAAAAATAGGTTACAGTAAAGAAGGTTTTATGTGTGTTCTTCATCTGGAAGTAATATTCTATTTTAGAAGCCACTAAGACAATAAGTCAACATTTATTAAGTGTATATTCTGTGACATGTCTGTGATGAATGAATAGTTGGTAAATCCCCTTGCTCTAAGAGAATGGACATTCTAGAAAAAATAAACATAGAATTAAATTAATAAAGATAATTTAAAATTGAAAACCTTCGTTTTGTGGGGTATACTTTGTTCTTAGCCTAAGTTTGAGAAGATTTTGAGTTTCTCAATGACAAAATGAAATAGGAATACAATGAAAAATACCAAAGATAGCTTGGAACTTCCCAAGGCCAAGAGTAAATCCTCCTCTGCCTCAGCTTTTGTCGAGAAAGGTAATATTCAGAGTTAAGTTGTGTGCTGTTTAATATGTGGAAGTGATAACTATGTGTTGCTTTGCTTTTGTTCTAGGAATCTTGGGAAATCAGGACTCAGAGTTTCTTGCTTGGGTCTTGGTAAGTACTTATGGTATTATTAGAGCGATGGGTGGGAAGGTGGGAGACTAAGGAGATACCAGGGAGTGACTGTGATGTAAGTCAGGGTTAGATCTCAGTAGAAGGAGACTGGCCAGCTTTGTTCAATTCCCCTCTGAGCCTTTCCTTGTCCAGTGTGCCTATCTCCCTGCCTAGGCCCAAGGATTCATCATACCCATTCATCTTCTACCTCAAGCAAAAAGCAGCCTTAGAGGAGGACAACCATGTACTTCTCCTGCTTACCTGGTATGCAAGATGTAAAACAACATACATATGCATATCTTGCCCTGCCTTTAGTTTAACTAAATAACTCTATTCTTACCTCCCCTTTCAATATCTTCACTTAATTCCTGTAATTGTTATGTATTTTATGTGCTTTAAAACATCTACTTCAAATTCTCGGGGGCAAGTGAGGTAATACACATACAAAGTGTTGTCAATTGACAGACTCCAGAATAACAAGGGAGAAGGTCCCTAGGCATTCATGTGAGGCATTGTGTTGATTATACCACTTGATATGGGAAGATCCATCTTAACTGGTTGGAGCCATTCCCTGGCATTAGGTCCTGGACTGAACAAAATGGGGATGGGGATGCATTCAGAATGGGAATGTTTATTTTTCAAAATGTAGTTATGGGTATGGTACTGTGTATATGTCATACTGTGTCTAAATTCAGGAAGGATAGAGAGATGTAAACTGGTATTAGGGGAGCTCACCAGAAAGGACCACTGTGTGTGTCTATAGCATATGGCCAATCAAAAGTCTTTATTCCAGACTATTTGGACCACAACCAGGTGTTCAGGGATCTAGGTGTAGTTGCAAGTGTCCAGAACATCCAGTTTTTAAGGGCAGGCACCTTGTCCTGGCATGTCCTTTGGCAACCAGGGTTGGCGGCTACACATAGTAATCAGCTTGAAGCAAGCAGTTTTAACAAAAGCTAAAATAAGCAGGATAAGCAGTTAGCCAGTAGAAAGGTAGGTTCTGCAGAAAGAGGCAGCTAAGATAGCAGTTAGCTGGAGAAGAATCTGCACAAACAGTGTTAACAATGGCTAAGATAAGTTAACTTGGACATTCTGACCTGGGTTTCTAGAAGAGAGCTGGGTAATTTCCCATGGGATTATCCATAAAGGAGGTCAAATTCTACTTAAACTTGGAATAGCCTCAGTAAGAATACAAGATGGAGGAACCTCTGCACTGTCTTCTCTACGTTGCACTGGTGTTTAGTTCAGTTTCTCCTTTTTACTTTTTTTCTTCTTATTATTTTACATATCAATCCCAGTTCCCTCTCTGTCCCTCTCTTCCACCCTCTCATGTCTCCAGACCACCCTCCTATCCCATCCCCTGCCCCACTCCACATGTAGGGTTATTCCTTCCTGGAGGAGTCATCTAAATCTGTCAAGTCATTTGGAGTAGGGACTAGGCCCTCCCTCCTGCCTCTAGGTTAAGGGAGTATCTCTCCATGGGGGATATGCCCCCAAAGTCCTTTTGTACACCAGGGCTACATCCTGGTTTCACTGTCAGAGGTCCCTTAGACTGCCCAGGCCTTCTAACTGAGACCCATATTCAGGGAGTCTGAGTAGGTCCAATGCTGGATTCCCAGCTATAAGTCTGGAGGCCCATTAGCTCCACCTTGTTCAGGTCAGCTGTCTCTGTGGGGTTCTGTAACCTGGTCTTGACCTCTTTTCTTATCACTCCTCCCTCTCTCCATCTGGATTCCAGTTCAACTCAGAGTTTAGCTGTGGGTATCTGCTTTTGTTTCCATCAGCTACTAGATGAGGGCTCTATGATGGTGGATAAGTTAGTTGTCAATCTCATTATCAGGGAAGGGCATTTATGGTAGTCTTTCCACTGTTGCTCAAATTGTTAGTTGGGGTCAGTCTTGTAGGTCTCTGGACATTTCTCTAGATTCAGTTTTCTCTTGAAACCAATAATGGTTCTCTCTCCTCTCTCTCTCTCTCTCTCTCTCTCTCTCTCTCTCTCTCTCTCTGTCTGTCTCTCTCTCTCTCTCTCCCTCTCTCTCTCTATTCCTCCCCTGACTCAATCTTCCTAGTCTCACTTGCTTTCCTCTCCTCCCCTTCTCTTTCTCCTAGCCCCCTCTCCACTCACTGCCCCCGCACTCTCAATATACTCAAGAGATCTTGTCCCTTTTCCCCTCTGTGAGGGACCTTATATGAATCTCTTAGAATCCTTCTTGTATCTTAGTTTCTCTGGTGATGTGAATTATAGGCTGGTGATCCTTTGCTCTGTGTCTAAAATCCATATATGAGTGAGTACATACCATGTTCCTCTTTTTGTGACTTCTCCTTTTTACTTTTATTCAATGAGACGCTAACACTGAATGGTGACATATACCTTAACCTCTCTAGAAATGCTCTCACAGACACATCAGGTGATAGCTCAGTCAAGTTGACAGTGAAAATTAATCATCACAAGTCTATGTCTTGTCTACTTGATACCCCAAGCATCAATTTTAACTACAACCTTCCACCCTCCTTCAGAATGCTTCCTGCATGACCATCTTGTAATGCAAAATTAGTTCAGCTGCTAGAGTTCCCCCAGATCTTAATTTTGCCATTGTTCAAAAGGTCAAAGTCCCTGGTAAGATTCAAGGTGGCCTCTTAACTGTGGACCCTGGTAAGAAAAAGAAAGTTAGTAGTTCTAAAATACCATAGCAAAGAACAAACACCCCCTTTCCTAGATAGAGAAATAATGATATAGCAAGGAAAATGCAGGCTAAAGTAAAACTAAAAGCTGACATGTAAAACAATAAATCCTGTAACTCCATATTGAAAGGTCTCAGATGAGGGTACAAGAAGGACATTGAGATGGGTTGTTAGGGGTAAGGAGTTTTCAGAAGCATAGTTATCACCATGGACAGAGAGATGACAGCATGGTAGAGGTACTGGGGGGCAGGATTGAAAACCCACCATCTTAGATGGGCAGCACAGCAGAAATGAGGGTTTCTTCTCACTGCTCTGGGGGAACAGGTGATTCCCAGCAGGAGCCAGGCTATTTGATTCCCAGGCAGAAGGCAGGAAAGAGGGTGGGGAGCAGGATGTGTGCCCACTAATATCCCCTTTCATGTAAACTCATTCCCCACACACCCTGCCCCCTGAGAAATCCTGACACTTAAGAGATTTTAGCTAGAGATTCACAGACAGTGGCCTCAGTAGAATTTCTGTCAGACAGCAAAGTGTTGCTTCTGTTATTATAGCCTGAGAAGTCTGGTCTGGAATCGAATACATCCTTACATGTATTAGACTGGAGCTGTGTTAGTTTGCTTTCTGTTGCTGTGGTAAACCAGCATGGTCCAATGCAACCTGGGGGAAGAAAGTATTTATTTGGCTTACATTCTGAGACCCAAGACCATAGAAGGATGCCACTCATATGAAGAGTGGTTCTCTCCTCCTTAGTTAGAAGTATGTATTTGTTCTTGCAAGCGAATACTCCCAGAGATATATCTTCTATGTGACTTTAACATCTGTCAATTTGACAAAAAAGATAAATTAACCATCACTAGTTTTTTGTGTGTGTGAAAGTGCTTATGGTAAATCATGACTATACATTACTGAAAAAAATACACAGGAGTGTAAGATTTAAAATATAGTAAGTTAAGAAAGTATCAGCTAGGAAGATGGCTCAGCAGGCAAAATGTTTGTCACATAAGCATGAGGACCAGAGTTTACATCCCCAGACCCTATGTAAAAGCCATGTGGGTATAGCAGCCTGCCTACAATCCCAACATGAGGAGGTGAAGACAGGAAATCCCCAAAGCAAGCTGGTTAGCCAGACTACCCAAAATTGCAAGCTTTGGGATTCAGTAAGAGATCCTACCTCAATATGCAAGATAGATACAATAAACAAGATACAACTGGGAAAGACATTTTACATTAACCTCCAACCTCCATCCAGATAGACACACAAACTTGTGAGCCTACAAACTGAAGTGCACCCACACAATGCAAACATGCATATATACTACAAGCACACAATACACACAAAAAGAGAAAGTAAACACACACACACACACACACACACATACACACACCACATATAAATGCATTCAGTAATATGATGTAAAATATTTTGACCAATTACTTTGGAGTTGGTTTAGGTTAGTCAAAAGAAATTCAACAAGATCTGGCCATAGTGGCTAGCACTTGTAATCCTAGCACTTGGGAAGTAGAGACAAATGTTCAAGGTAACCATCTGCTATTTAGAAATTTTAAAGCCATACTACATGAGAGCCTGTCTCAAAAAAGAAAAAGGAAGAGAAAAGCAAGATGGCTCAGTAAATGAAGATACTGGCCACAGACCCTGATGAGACACAGTATAAAAAATAGGAGAAAACAAGGCAGTTCATAAGGATGACTGGCTTTATTCAAAATGGGTGATGGCTCGACACTCTTTCGGGGTGTGTTTCTGCTGCCTCTGGAAAGAAGAAAGGACAAAATAGTCACAAGAGCAGTAGAGTCCCAGCCTTAGGTATTTCACCAGGTTCCACAGACCCCAGCTGTCAGATCAGTGAAGTTGGGTTTACTGTTCCAGGCTTAGAGGTCAGCTCAGACATCATGGCCCGTGTTCAACCGAGACTTTGGAAATTAGGCATTGACACTTTTATCCAGGCAATCAAAAGACCACACATACCTTTTGCTTTAAAGGTTATAGTTCTGACATCCTTCTCCATCTGAAGAATGGCTAGACACTTCTTGCCTGCCAAGCTTTCTTCTGGCAGACAAACAACATATAGCAGAGGAGAAGAATCGTAGAATGACTTGAGGATGAAGTGATGATACAACTAAGGAACACAGTCCTGACAAGGACAGTTAGAAAAAGAGGTGGATCCCACCCGGAGATAGCATTATCAGGGGTGATGTGTAAATACACCCTATCACAGCCATCAAGACCTAGTAGTGTCAAAGAAACTGATGGAAAAATTAATAAATGCAGTCTAGAGTAACCTCTGGCTTCTGTGGCACCC